TTCTACTCTCTAGAAGTTGCCTTGGTTAGAATATCCTTCTTTACAGGAACTGTGTTCCGTGAAAACCAGGCTTTTACGGCCTCAGCTCTCTTCTGATCCCCATTGGTATTCATTCTGTTTGACTCTAGATACTGTTTCTTTACTTCCAAAATCCATCGTTGATGGATCTGACCTCACAAGGGGTACTTAACAAGAATAAGCAGTTTCTAAAGATGATCCCCAAGTCTGAGATCCCAGACTTTGGGAATTACTGTGCCGTTTCCCCTTCCCTCTCTTCTTTCCTCCGCCAGGTGACTAATTTAGGGAGAGATCTGAGTCCTGGAATGAAAAGAGATGTATTCATGGTCATACTTCACATAAAAAGGGAGTTCAAAGGGAATTGACATTGGTTGATAATTTGTTATGCATCAACTGCTTTATCCATAGCTTCTCAATTTATTTCACTTAACAACTTGTAACATAGTCATTTTATTACTATACTGATTTCACAGATGAGACAACAATGCATTATTAGAAGTGACAAACTGCAGATTCAAACCCAGATCCAAGTAACACAAAGCATATTCTCTTCCTACACTATCCCATTGCCCTGCCCCATGAAGGCACTGGGAGCCTTTGATGAATGCTATAATTCCATCTTGTCAGCCTGGGCCACTTTCTAGGCATGTGAATAACATCACCGATAGCTCTTCTTGGTTTCTTTCCCCCCCCCCTTCCATTTTTTTGGCTGTGCGTAGCATGTGGGATCTTAGTTCCCTGACCAGGGATCGAACCTGTGTCCCCAACAGTGGAAGCTCTGTGTCTTAATAACTGCACCACCAGGAAAGTTCCTGGTTTCTTGTGCCCAGAAAGGACCCCACACTTCCTCTGCACTCTCCCACCTCTGGTACATTGTCAGCTATCTTGTAAATGCACCACCTTGGTTGTTAGGCAGATAGACGAGTGAAGCCTGCAACTGGGAATCTAACTCGGCCAATTCCCTGATGCCTGTGGGGTCACTAGTGCCCTTGCTGACCAGGAGAATAAGCCACCACTATTCTTATCCCTGCTTTTCAAGGGGAAGAAAAGCATTCTGTAAGGACCATTCTTATCTCATCAGCAGTGCTCAGAGTAACAAACAGGCTTGAGGAGTGCAAGGGTGAAGAACAGCATTGGATGGGGGTGATGATGATGACAAAAGAGATGATGCACACTTTAGACAAAACTGGGTGTGCATGAGTATGTGTGTGTGTTTTTCCTGGCTCCAAAAATGATGATGTGTATTTCTGAGCGGGCTTCCCTGGTGGCTCAGTGGTAAAGAATCTGCCTGCCAATGCAGGAGATGTGGGTTCAATCCCTGGGTTGGGAAGATCCCCTGGAGAAAGAATTGGCAACCCACTCCAGTATTCTTGCCTGGCAAATCCCATGGACAGAGGAGACTGGTGGGCTACAGTCCATGGGGTTGCAAAAGAGTTGTACATGAATTAGCAACTAAATAACAACAAATATTTCTGAGCAGCTCTGAACAAAGAAATCGAGTGTTTAAGTTTTGCCTGCATTAGACTCTATCCACAGAAGATAGCCAGGAGTGGCTTTCAGGGTGTCTGAGAAAATGAGAGGTGCAGATGGTTTGCACTGGGGCATGGTTTCAAATTTTAAAAGGATTATGGCTCATGAACCCTAGAAATGGTGGGTGGAGGTGTGAATCTTTGAAATTCTAATTGCATACCAGTCTAAGGAGGTATATACTTACCTGGGCACGATATCTCATTGTTCACATATTCCTTTCTTGGCTAGGGGAGACGGGGAGGAGGAGCAGATATATAACATAATCTTCAAATGAAACTGAAACAACAATTGGTGGCAGCAGTTTGGACTCTGGTGAATTCCATCAAGAAAGCAATCCCCACTGTTTACCATCACAGTTAGCTTAGCTTGTTGTAATAATCTTTATTCCTTGCCTCTGTAGAGCTGAGGGCAGACACAGACTCAGCTCCAGCTGGGAAGGATCTCTGTGGTCATTTTGACATACGCATCCCTTTATTTTATCGAAGTGAGGGCACTAAGGCCCAAGCTAACAGCATCAGTTATCAGGAGAGAAAGCTCTGGAATCCAGGCCTTCTGGAATTGAGGCAATTATTCACCGACTCCAGGCTTTTTAATAACAGCTCAGATTTATCAAGTGTTTGCTCTAAGCCATGCATATGTGATAGAAGGAGCTAACAGCCCAGCAGGGATGACAGGTATTCGATGACAACTTGGAAGAGAGAGATAAGTGGAAATAATGCAAAATCAGAGTCTCAATTGATTTCCAGCCTAGAGGATGGCCTTCTTGGAGTGGTTGGAAGGCTAAGTGCGGGTGTTAGACTCTCAACTGCTGCATGGGGATAAACATGGGGTTACTTGAGGCTCTTGGAGCTTAATGAGCACAAGCTAGTAGTGGCCATAGTTGTTCCCAAGTCACAGAACCTTCTAGAGGCAGGATGACCCAGTTAGTATATGGGAAAAGAGGTAGGGTTTTTTCTGGTGTCTCATATTCTGTCAGTAACAGCATGTGAACAAGTGACCTCCAGGTGTGGGTCTTAAATGCCATCTGGCAGTCTCCCCAAAACCTCAACCTTGGTGTGTCCCAGTGCAGACTTTTAATGTAGAAGGAGAAAGTGTGTACCTGTTCCTTTGTTTTTTAGGATGCCTCTCAAAACTGATGTCTCAACACTTTGCCAGAGCAGTCTTTATTCCTGTATGCTGCCTTACCAAGGCCTTCCTCTCGTTAGCTGCAATGCTTGCCTTCCTGACGTTAATAAGCACTTCCCCAGAGACACAGTGCAGGTTCAGGACAGCCAGCACAGGCAGACAAAACACCTTGAACTTGTACAATGGCTCTCCTGTGCACAGAGCACCTTCTCATCTGTTACCATTTACCAACCTCATCGGGCTAGCGCCCTCTTCTTTCATGTTCATGGGAGGCAACTGAAGGCCAAGATCCCATAGCCACCAGGATTACCTGCAGAGGCGACCCCTCATTCTCTTTTCTTTTTATTGTTTATTTGGCTGCATCGGATCTTAGTTGTGGCACACAGGACCTTTGATCTTTGTTGCCACTGCAGCATCTTTTTAGCTGCGTCTCAGAAACTCTTTTGTTTGTGCCATGTGGGATCTAGTTCCCTGACCAGGTATGAAACCCAGGTCCCCTGCACTGGAGCGGGGATGTCTTGGTCCACCAGGAAAGTCCCTTCATTCTCTCTTCTGCTCTAGATGTCACTTTGTCAAGGAGGTTTTCTCTGTTCATTCCTCAAACCATAGCTCCTGCATCACTTGCTTACTCTGTATATACTTCACTTTATATTACATGTATATTGCTTGTCTGTTTCCCTTACTACTGTTGATGGAAGAGTAGCGGCACTGTCTGTTTCCGAATCTCCAGCGGCAGGAGGAGGGCGTTAGTAAATAGTTGTCAGCAGTGAGCAAGGAGATGCAGTTTTCATTTGACAATCACTCCCAGGTCCAGTGCCCCTCCCTGCCAGTGGGCACTCTGTTGTGGTTTGGGGAAGGACCAGAGGACAGATAACTGTACAAGATCGCAGAACTCAATCCCAGAGGAGGCCCGGGGGCTAGACTTCTGCCCAGGTTGGTGAATTTGGGACTTTATGAGCCGGCTCCGGTTGGCTCCAATTATAGGAGCCAATCGTCAGGCGCTTCCTAAGGGCCTAGTTGGTGTTTTTTTTTTTTTAAACCAATTTGATCCGCAATCAATGGTGAGAAATTAAATGGATTCTTTGGGCTAAGTAGATTGAGCAAAATAGCCATCTGCCAGGGCCTAGGAATGAGCAATCTGTTGGTAATTTTTCCGCTGAAATTTGGCATCTACTTAGCATTGTACACCATTTGCACCTCGGGAAATGCCTTTTACACCTCTTCCCCTCCTCTGTCCTTCGCGTTAAAAACAATACCAACAACAAAAGCCAGTGTAAATGAAAGATTAGAAAACTGGGGGCGGGGGGGGGGGCAACCTTCCCATGTCTTCACTCAGCACTTCAGCGGCTTCAGCAATCGGCACAAAACCAGCCTTCGGGGGCTGGTGAGCGCCCTGCCAAGGGAGTGAGGGGCCAGAGCCGGCGAGCGGGCAAGCTGCAAGCCGGGCCCCAGAGGCCGCCGCCGCGCGCCCCTCTCGCCGGGCCCGCGACCCGCGCAGACGGAGGCGGCTCTCTGGGCCTCGCTTCCTGCACCCACACGGGGCTAAAAAAGAACGCGCACAACTTTTTTTTTGGTCCCCCTTCTTGCGAAACGCTCGCGTAACCGCTCCGGGGGCGGCCCTGGGGACGCGGGTATTCGCCGCCCCGAGAGCCGCGCGGCCCGGGCCGCCGGGCTGGGGGGCACCGGGGCGGGGCCTGGGCGGTGAGGGCGGGGCGGACTGGGGCGGGGCCTGGGCGGGGCTGGGGGCTGGCGTGGGCGGACCGGGCCGGTGTGGGCGGGGCGGGGCGGCGTGGGCGGGGCCGGGCCCCGCAGGGAGGGGGGCGCGGCGGCGCGTGCGCAGAGCACTTCCTTGTTTGTCCCCGTGACTGTCGCGGCAGCGCCGCCCGCCCGCTCGCGGGAGCGTGTGTTCAGTCTGTCGGTGTCCGCGCTGCCGCCTGTCAGAGCGTGTGAGCAGGCAGCGCCGGCCCGCTGCGACCTGCCCGGCCCCGGACGCCCCCTCCCCGCTCCCCGCGAAGCATCCCCTCCCCCGTGGCCTGGCATGAGCAGAGGGAGGCGGGTAGCTGAGAGCTCCTAGCCTCGCGCGCCGCTCGGAGTTTGAAGGGCCCCGTGCCGATCGCTGATCGCGGCCGCCGCCGCCGCCGCCTCCTTTCTCGCCCGCCAGAGCTTTCTCGCGCCGCCGCCGGGATCGCAGCCGCGCCAGGCCGGGCGGCGGGTGGCGGGCTGCGTGCGGGGGGCTTTCATGAGCCGCCGGCCGGCCCGCGGCCCCGGGAGCCTGCGCCGTGACTCACCCCCCGCCCTCGCTTGTGTCTCGCCCCCTCCCCCGGCAGGATGCCGGACCAGATCTCCGTCTCCGAGTTCATCGCCGAGACCACCGAAGACTACAACTCGCCAACCACGTCCAGCTTCACTACGCGGCTGCACAACTGCAGGAACACCGTTACGCTGCTGGAGGAGGTAGGTCGGGGCCGGTGCCCTCCGCGGACCCCGGCCCGCCTGCCGGGACGCCTCGCTTCCTCGGCTCGCGGCCGCTGCCTCGCAGTTGGATTGCGTCGATTTCCGAGCCGGGGAGGAAGGGGATGTAAGGGGCCTGGGGGAGCCACACCCCCACTGCGGGACTCCCTCCAGCCCACCCCGCGGCCAGGTGATGGGTGAGGGACATAGGTTGTGCAGCCCCCAGCTCCGTTTCCCCCCCGAGGCTAGAGGTGGGGAGAGGATTGAACAGGCTGTGGACAGCCCTAAGAAGTGGGAAGTCCTCTCCCTGGCTTGAGCCCTTCTGGGCGCTTTCCACATCATCCTGACCCTCTCGTAACCCGCCTAGTAGATGGTGTCAGGCCCCCGAGGGCAGAGGGAGGCAAAGCAACGGGGCCAAGGTCACCAGCAAGGGACTGGGAGATGGTCAATTAATGGACCTCTCCACGGCCCGGCTTGGCCAGGCAGGCTGAGCTGCATCTGCTGGGACTGGTGGAAAAACCCCAGAGGAATGAGAGGGAGCTCTGGCCGGGACTGCCTCCACCCCGGGATTCCTCCTCCTCTCTTGTCCTAAAGCCCTGGGTGGAAAGAGCTATCTATGCAGACTGGTCCCCACCCGGCTCCCCTGGCTGGCTGGTTTGGTAGAGTCAGGCTGCTGCGCCAGCAGGACCTGCCCGCAGGGCACTCATAAGCTGTGAGTGGATCCCCGAGGCCGGTGCTGCCCCGAGGAGCTGGCCAGACAGGAAGAAGGGAGGCCTGAGATGCAGAAAGAATCGCTCCTCTTATCTAGGTCTCCAGGGAAAGCTTGTGGGTGCCTCCGACAGCGTCAAGAGCTTAGCAATTTCCTTTAAAATTTTAGGTGCATTAGTGATAGGGCTGAGTAGGTACATAAGGAGGAATCTGCAAGCCTGGGAGCTGGGAAGCCTCTGAACCTCCTCAAAAAACGGGATATTTGCCCTGGAACTCTGCCCCATATGTAAGTGCCATAAAGTGCCGCTCCCTTCTCAACCCAAAAAAAGATAGCACTGGAGGAAGTTAGGAAGGCAGATCGTTTTCCCTGGGTGGATTCTTCTGTGGTTGGTTTATTTGAGGTTTGGGGAGCTCTTTCTGATCTAAGCTCCCCGCGGCTCCTCCTCTGTAATGCTAAGAAGCTTGGGCTTCTGTGAGCAGACTACTCTTGATGCAGGCTGTGATACTTGTTCCTGGGCCAGGTTACACCCAGAACTGTGTGTGTGTTCAGAAGCACAGGGGTCCTACATTTTATGAGGGGAGAAGTTTCTGCTAGTGCTGGGTCCTGTTTTGCCGACCTGATGCAGCAAATGAGTCTGGATGTTTCATGAGGTTGCTTTTGGATTCTCTCTGAAGTTAATGTTGGGTTATTGAACTGAATTTTGAAATTCAGTTGGAGAAGCACCATCTAACTAGGTTTGTTGGAAAGCCAGAGGTAAATGACTCTTTTTTCTTTGTTGTGGTTTTGTTTCTGTCAACTGTCTTGTCTGTTGAACCAGCCTGATGCCTGGTGTGTGGGATTAAGTGGACTTGCCAGGCATTCAACCCTATGACCAGCCTGTCCTTCACTTAATTGTGATGAATTGAAACATGCTGATGTGGAAGCATTTTGCATCCTTTTTCTGTACCTACTGTATATGCTTCTAAAGGATGTGACATTGGTTAGACTGAGGGGCTGTTTTCCTTCTAGATAAGCCCTTCAGGGCCTGCTGATGGAGCTGTCAGTTACATTAACTTTTCCTTTCTGCACATTCTGTTTGTGTGGGGTGTGATAAGGGTAAGTGTATAGTTGGTGATGCTGTTTGTAGGGGTATGTGCCCATATTATGTGGCCACACTGGAGGATGGGGTTAGTGTTTTTAAATTATATGCAGCTGCTCTGGATCTTTGTTTGAGATTACTAAATTTAGAGGCAAATTGCAGCTGATATATTTTTTGGTGGGCCATGCTGTTTTGCAAGGTTGGGTAGAAAAACAGACCCAGTCCTATGAACTTGAGAAGCAATTGGAACCAGGCTAGAAGTTCAAAAGTGTCATGTTAGAGTACATTGGTAATACTCAGGTTCTCAAAAATACAGTAGTGATTGTTTCATCAAGAGCAGCACAATAATTTTGTTGCTGTTTTTTTCTGACTTTAGTACAGTCCTAGTCAAGAAGTCATTGTCCCCAATCTCCATCTTTTAATTCCTTTAAAGAAATTTTTTAAAATTTATTTTATTATTATTTGTTTTGGCTGTGAACAGGCTTTCTTATTTGTGGCGAGTGAGGTCCTCTGTGTTGCGGTCCTCAGGGCGGGGTCCTCATTGCGGTGGCCTCTCTTGTGGAGCACGGGCTCTAGAGTGCTCGGGCGTCAGTAGTTGTGGCACTCGGACTTCGTTACTCCATGGCATGTGGGATCCTCCCGGACCAGGGATTGAATCCATGTTCCCTGCATTGGCAGGCGGATTCTTAACCGCTGGGCCACCAGGGAAGTCCATCTTTTAACTCCCTAACTGAATTCCATGAGGTCGGATTCAAGAGTGATTGCCTTTAGCCTAAATATGAAATATGCCCTTTGGTTTCTTAATTGATAGATAACTACCACGGTTGAACTTTTAATCCCACCCCCCGAAGCTTATATGTGTGAAAGAGGTACATTTATAAATATCTTACATTTTACATTATATCAGCATTCAGTTCTCAAAAATTATGGGGCTTAAGGTTATTACCCTCAAAATATAACGAAAAGTTTTGGGGCAAACCACAAATTCTTGTTGACATAGGCTTCACAAGTGAAATAGGTGGAAACTTAAGACTGCTGTTTGGGTTATCTTGTGGTTATTCTTAGGAAGAGAAATTTTGGGTACTTTTTTGGTGATGTGGAAACTCAGGAATAGGAATTAATTTGGGCAGCTTGGAATTTTTAAAAAAATATTTTTCTAGTTCTAGCAATTGTCTTCCTATTTATTTATGGACTGTTTTGCTCTTTGAATTCCAAAGTAGCATGTCTAAATGTCACGTAAAAAGTTGTGTTAGATCTCCTAACTTGGAACCCTAAATTAACCCACACGCTCCCTTTTGGTTTGTCCTCTTGGCAAAGAGTTCTATGCTTTGCAGATGTTGCTGCTTTTATTTTAACCTATCACTGATGAACACTTAAGGAACTCGGTCAGACATCCTTGGTTAAAAAAAAAAAAAAAGAAAAGAATTTACTTCCAGGCTTCAACTTTGGGGGCAAAGGGTCCCCCATGATTCTGGAAGTCATGGCGGGGGCTGGCACGCAATGAGTGGCTGCTTTTGAGAGGCAAGAGGGTTGGCCTGCCAAGGTTTCATGCTGGTGTGTGAGTGTTTTCCAAGCAAAAAGCCAGTGTTTTGCTTATTCAGCAACCAAAGCACACTGACGTGTGCCATTTTCCTCGTGACCGTGTGGAAATTATGAGTAAATGAGTAGGAGAAGGCTGAGCTTTCCCAGGAAGGGAGCAGGCACCATTGAGGGAGACAAAAGGAGAGGCTCTTCATTTAGAGACTTAGATTGGTGCATACATAGTGTTGGCTGAAAGGGAGAGTCCAGTGTGATATGTGAAGGTCAGCTGGGTTATTGACTGAGTAGCGTTGGCCCAGCACTTTTATCTTTGGTGATGATGGAGGAGGCATGCTCTGCCCATTCATTAAGCAGCTAGCTGCTTGGTACCAGGACTTTGAAGGCACATGGCATGCCTGAGGACACTTCACCCTTACAGAGGCTTTATGGAGGAGGAACAATTGTTAGCCCCATTTTACAGGGAAGAAAACTGAGGCCTAGCGAGATGAAGTGATTTGTCTCCAAGATCAGATGGCTAGTAATTAAGTGGTGTTAATGATGAACTCTGCTGCGGCTAAGTTGCTTCAGTCATGTCTGAATCTTTTCGACACTATGGACTGCAGCCTGCCAGGCTCCTCTGTCCGTGGGATTCTCCAAGTAAGAATACTGGAGTGAATTGCCATGCCCTCTTCCAGGGGATTTTCCCAGTCCAGGGATCGACCCTGCCTCTCCTGCATTGGCAGGCAGGTTCTTCACCACTAGTGCCACCTGGGAAGCCCCTAAGTAGAGTTAGGAAGCCCTTAAATAGTTAAGACTTAAAATAGATGTTCTAAATGTCTACAAAGACATACTTCAGTGGTTAGTGTTTTGTGGAAGCGTAGGAGGCTTCACTCTTATTGTCTGTTCTTGTTTTGGTACCATGAATCAGGTGGGTAAGTTCCTAGGTGGTTTGGTTTATCTTCACGTTCAAGTTACAAGGAGTTCTTCATGTGGTTGCTGTTGTTCAGTCATTAAGTCACGTCTGACTCTTTGTAACCCTGTGGACTGCAGCACACCAGGTTCCCCTGTTCTTCAGTGTCTCCTGGAGTTTGCTCAGATTCATGTCTGTTGAGCCAGTGATGCTCTCTAACCATCTCATCCTCCGCTGCCCCCTTCTCCTCCTGCCCTCACTCATATCCAGCCAAGGTCTTTTCCAGTGAGTCAGCTCTTCACGTCAGGTGACCAGAGTATTGGAGCTTTAGTTTCAACATCAGCCCCTCCAGTAAATGTTCAGGATTGATTTCCTTTACGACTGACTGGTTTGATCTCCTTGCTGTCCAAGGGACTTTCTAGAGTCTTCTCCAGCACAAAACATCAACTCTTTAGCACTCAGCCTTCTTTTTGGTCCAACTCTCACATCTGTGCATGACTACTGGGAAAAAAAATCATAGCTTTGACTATATAGACCTTCATCAGCAAAGTGATGGCTCTGCTTTTTAATATGCTGTTTAGGTTTTTCATAGCTTTCCTTCCAAGGAGCAAGCATCTGTTAATTTCATGGCTGCAACACTGTCTCCAGTGTTTTGGTATCCAAGAAAAGAACTCTCACTTCCATTTTCCCCCCTTCCATTTGCCATGTAGTAATGGGACTGGATGCCACGATCTTGCTTAGTTTTTATTAATGTTGAGTTTCACATCAGCTTTTTCACTCTCTTCTTT